ATTGTGTATTCATTCATTTTTATTTATATAGGCAACTCAAATTGCTTTGATACATCATAAAATCTACAGAGATTAAGTTACGTAATGGTAAAGTAAATATTATTTCTATATATGTAAACACACGAGAATTATGTAATTAATATTTCCTAAATGTTTTAATTTCAATAAATAGATAATATTTACGTGAATAAAACATGTTTATGTAATTTTTTTAAAAAGTCATGCATAAACGTCATAAATAAGAGGTTATGTGTGTGTGTGTGTAATATACCTGGCGCATCCGCCGAATATATATATTGTATGTTTTAAACCGTAATAAATCAAGGAGGCTTGCGCCCTCCAAAACGGATTTGCAAACAAAAAACAAAATAAAATTTGTATGAAACTATAAATGGTAATAATTTGCAACGGACATGCAACATTTTTTTTTGTTGTTGTTTGTTTTGTTTCAATAAGGGCGCCGCTCTCTGCATCCGAGACTTACGGCCGGAAAGCATGCAATTAAAAAGCCTCCTCCGCTGTTTGTACTTGGTTTCGTGTATTTAATTTCGCTGGCAGTCGACGCTGGTCTGCATATAAATTTGCAGGAGAAGGCAGTTACCGAAATATAAAGGCAGTTAATAAAACATCAAACGGAACGGACGCCCTTTCGTGACCGCAGCCGGGACACACGGCGAACACAACGTAAATATAATAATTATGCAACAACACTCACCAAGAGAATACCGGAGGAGATTTTCTTTTTTTTTTTGGTTCGATGAAAATATCAACACTTGACATTTAAATAACTGAAACAAAGCTTTATTATAAAAGTCTACCAACTTAATAAAATTTAATTAATTTAAGTTGTTACACGTGGCAATTTACAACAATTACAGCTGTAATTATCTGTTAATTATTAGTAACATTATTATATAAATTCAATTAATTATATTATTTTTTTTACAAATGAATTTTAATTAGATAAACATATATATTTCTTTTATATGGTTTAATTTGGTTTTGAAAACATAGATGTCATTGATGTGTTTTAATTACATATATTTTGTAATTTATTCTATTACTGTAATTCTAATTAACAAATAATTGTGTGTGTTTTGTTTATTGAGAAAAAAATTGTAATGAATATTTGATAAATTAATTAATTTGTATGTGAAAACACATACACGTCAATTTTTTATTTATTTCTCAGATATTTATTGATTACCAACTGAAAACTATAGCACTAAATTATGTAATTAAAGTTGGTACTTTTAACAGTTTTGTTTTGTTTTTAATGTTATAAAGTGAATTTAGAGCTAAGAATTAAAAGTGTATAAAACTAAAAAAAAACGTAAGTTATTAATTAATTTTTACAAGTAAAGTGAAATTTATAGTCTACATTATAAACATACATATACAAAGGACTATTGACAACAGTATTTGCATTAGATTTTAATATTAACCTAATATTAACAATTTTGACAGAAGTGCTTGGTAAAAAAAAACAAAAAAGCACTCTTTGATGTTTTCATAAATAAAAATAAATTATATAATAACTTGCAAATTACTGAATTCATTGTTAATTTGATACCCAAAAAGGGATTAACACTGATATTTCTTTTTACCTCTCTACCTTTTCGCTTTAATGATAAATTTCCACGAAAATTTTAGACCTTTACTTCTATTTTATTGCCAATTCAATAAACCGCGCATATTTTGAAATTCTGCTGAACATTTTTAAGAAAACAGTAATATTTTTGCCTAGTAACAATTAGTATTTTTTTTTTAATCAATATTTTTACATTACTGTAATTATAATTAACAAATTAGCAAATAATTGTATTGCAAATAACTGAATTCATTGTTAATTAAAGTCAAAACCTCTGTACCTTTTCGCTTTAATGAATAATTTCCACAAAAATTTTACTTCTATTTTATTGCCAATTCAATAAACCGCGCAAATTTTGAAATTCTGTTGAACATTTTTAAGAAAACAGTAATATCTTTCCTAGTAACAATTAGTATATTATTTTTAATCAATATTTTTAAAAAGTTCTCAAATATTAATATAAAAGTTAATTTGATACTTCTTGCTTTCCAATTGTAATAAGTTGTCTTAATCTGACAATGATTAGTATAATTATTATATAAATTCAATAAATTAAATTATTTTTTTTTACAAATGAATTTTAATTAGATAAACATATATATTTTTTTATATGGTTTATTGAAAAAAACAATACGTAATATAAATTAATTAATTTGGTTTTGAAAACACAGATGTCATTGATGTGTTTCAATTATATATATTACTGAATTCATTGTTAATTTGATACTCAAAAAGGGCTTTTCGTTAAGTGAAAGCGAGATAGGTAAAAATCTCTGTACCTTTTCGTTTTAATGATAAATTTCCACAAAAATTTGAGACCTTTACTTCTATTTTATTGCCAATGCAATAAACCGCGCAAATTTTGAAAATCTGATGAACATTTTTAAGAAAACAGTAATATTTTTCCTAGTAACAATTAGTATATTATTTTTAATCAATATTTTGAAAAAGTTCCCAAATATCAATATAAAAGTTAATTTGATACTTCTTGCTTTCCAACTATATAAGTTTTATTAATCTGTCAATTATTAGTATTAATATTATATAAATTCAATGAATTAAATTATTTTTTTTACAAATGAATTTTAATTAGATAAACATATATATTTTTTTGATATGTTTTATTGAAAAACAATACGTAATATAAATTAATAATTTGTTTTTGAAAACACGGATGTCACTGATGTGTTTCAATTATATATATTACTGAATTTATTGTTAATTTGATACTCAAAAAGGGATTTTCGTTAAGTGAAAGCGAGATAGGTAAAAACCACTGTACCTTTTCGCTTTAATGATACATTTCCACAAAAATTTGAGACCTTTACTTATATTTTATTGCCAATGCAATAAAACGCGCAAATTTTGAAAATCTGATGAACAGTTTTAAGAAAACAGTAATATTTTTCCTAGTAATAATTAGTATATTATTTTTAATCAATATTTTGAAAAAGTTCTCAAATATTAATATAAAAGTTAATTTGATACTTCTTGCTTTCCAATTGTAATAAGTTGTCTTAATCTGACAATGATTAGTATAATTATTATATAAATTCAATGAATTAAATTATTTTTTTTTACAAATGAATTTTAATTAGAAAACATATATATTTTTTTGATATGTTTTATTGAAAAATAATACGTAATATAAATTAATTAATTTGCTTTTAATCAATATTTTGAAAAAGTTCCCAAATATTAATATAAAAGTTAATTTGATACTTCTTGCTTTCCAACTATACAAGTTTTATTATAATAATAAGTTGTCTTAATTGATGAGTGTAAATTGGTTTTAAAGTTACGTAATTCATTCCTGAAAAAAAGTTCTGGAATAGACTGGATGATTGACGTGTTCCTCTTCGGTCTGTCATCGGCACGATTCGCATGCGAAACAGATTTAATTTCCAATCAGGATTCATTCATTTTTATTTATTTTTTTTGATTATTATTTAAATTTCGAGTTATTCGCGTATCGCGAGGGCTCCGAGTTATTAGCGATCGGTGGCATTTAATTGAATCGGTTTAATTAATGGTCCGGTCATGTTGTCCAGTGGTCTCGATGTCCTCTACATGTCCATCATCCTCCCGAGGGGACACACGCGTCCACTAAATCATCGTAGGCGCGCGGACACGTGTCGCGCGTATTTCATTTCCGGCCTACTATAATAATAATCATCATCATCGTCACAAGCATAATCATCTTCATCGTGTAACCATGGTGATGATTCAATTAAAAAAAAATATATGATAATACCAATTAATAATTTCCGACGTTGATGAATCGTCGATATTTGCTTTACGTATTTGACATTTCATCTGTTTTTTTTTCTTTGTTAAAGAATGTGTTATACTCTGGCGAGGATGTGACGATTAAACTGTAGCGATTCCAATTAAACAGCGATAATATCAATAACGCACACTCCGTGCGATATTCAATTAAATTTGCGCCCTATTTGCGTTGCGTTGCGCCTCGATGCGAAAACGTCCATTTCGCGGCGTTTCATTCCGGTCCATTTAATTTCGCAACAAAATATCGTCCGAATTTCGTTTCGCAATTCTAAATACAAAATAAATGAACATTTAAATTTCGCTTTGATTCGCACACACAAAAAACATCAATCATATTTGTTTATTTTTTTATTGTTGGAATAACTTCAATCAATATTTATTCTTCAAAGATCAATTTTGAAAATGATTAAAGAATAGTTTTGTTTTGTCCATTTTGTATGAATATTAAGTAGTGCAGAAATTTCTGCTAAAAAAAAAGTATAGATTCGTTGAGAATATTGCATATTTCACCTTTAAATAAGAAAATAAAATCATGTATTAAATATTGAAGTGATACTTTTAATATTGAATTTTCAATTGATGCTTTTAAACAAATTGTATGTATCAAAAATTTGTTGTAAATTTCTATTATTGATATACTTACCATTGTTGTGCTTCGGCTTTTAAACATTTGTTAGAAATAATAAAATTTGAATTTTTGTTAAAACTAAGATATTTATTCTAAAAACAATGATATATAATTTATATGAATATGGCAAGTTAGACAATCAATTACAAAACAAAACTAAACCTAAAATATTTCATTACGAACCTAAAAGTGTATTTAATTAATCGAGCAAAGTAGTGAACGCAAAAACGAGGAGGGTTAAGGGGTTAAAAGTGAAGGAATTTCCGTGGCTATTTGTAACGGTGTCAGGCGACGCAAAATCATTTATCCCATCTAATTAATTGCAGGAGTTCAAGAGTTAAACACAACGAATAATGCTGCCACCTCTACTATATACACCGAAGATTCAATTACTTGAAATGCAAACGAGACGCGATGTTTCATTCCGCTTTTAATTGAAAAACTGAACCCCCACCCCCTCATTTCACGAGTGAATAGTTTTTTTTTTGTTGTTTACTTCGATTCATCTCTCTTCTTGTTGTACTCATCCAATTCAGCGTCCAATTCTTCAGCGGTTTTTGTGGATTGTTTCTCGTGTTTATTGTTTCTGGGTTTCCTGTTGTACGAAGCGTGTTGATGTTGAGGTCTTGGTGCTCTTCTGGTCATGTCCTTCGGGGATCTGCTGTTCATCAGCTTAATTTTCATCGGATGCTCACCTAACTTGTACCCGTCGAACTCTTTCGAGGCTTGGACAGCTGCGGATCTACTTTCGAAGACAACGACGGCCGTTCCGACCATCCTTTTACTTTCATCTGTATGCACGTCCGCGTGGACGATGTGACCCACGTTGTAGAAGAGATCCTGGAAATCGGACTTGCTGACGTTCCTCATCAGATTGCTGATCAGGATAGCGCAGTCCATTTCGTTGCTACCGCGGAATCTGCCAGAGTCTTGTTGCTGCTGTTCTTGTTGATGATAATCTTGACTGTGGTAAGGATGATGGACAGGCCTCTTCCTGTATCTATTGCCATTCCTCGATTGATATTTGGAATTCATTTTTAGTTTTCTTAATCTGGTCTTCTGCACGGTTTGAAAAAACTTGGAGTTGCTTCAGGCTAGTCTTCTGCTCTGGTCTGAATAAACTTGGAGTAGCTTCAGTATAGTCGTCTGTTCAGTTTGAAGGAACTTGGAGAACTGTGACAAATTCAGAAACGACCTCTGATTTTATAGTCAAAAAATTGGCAATACTTTTTAGGGATTGGTAACACTGATATTTGTACCTGTGTACCTTTTTCGCTTTAATCACAAATTTCCACGAAAATCCGAGACCCTTAATTTCATTTTATTGCCCCTTCAATAAACCCCACATATTTTGAAATTCTGCTGAACATTTTTTTCCAAAAAACAACAATACTTGTTATTTTTAATTAATATAAAAGTAATCAAAAATGAATTACAGCTTGATATTAGCGGTTTCGTATGCATTTTTTTCATGATAATGCATGTATGCTTCATTACACACGCTAAGTGTGGACAGTAAACTTTTATTTCCCCGTCTGCTTCAGCTCAAATTGTTCATTGCATAGCTTCCAGTTTATTATACTTTGTGAGTACAGCAGACTTGGTCGCTTGAAAAATTATTATTACTTCAGTTACTACATTTTAATTACGAAAATTTAATTGTTCTAACATTAAGTTTCGTTCTTGTAGAATATAATAATAGGTGAAGATCTTCTGAATCAATTAGAACAAATTATTATATTGATGCTGCAAGTAATTTAAACTTTTATACCTTTTATAGTTCATTTCATATAATTCATGTTTTTCTTGAGACAATTCGAAACAATGAAAATGAGTTTTGGATAAAGAAAAAGTGTATTTTTCTGTAACAATTTTGTAAATTTAGTTAAATTTAGACATCTTGAGTTTGTTTATGAATTATTTCACTCAGAAATAAAGATAAAGAAAAAGTGTATTTTTCTGTAACAATTTTGTAAATTTAGTTAAATTTAGACATCTTGAGTTTGTTTATGAATTATTTCACTCAGAAATAAAGATAAAGAAAAAGTGTATTTTTCTGTAACAATTTTGTAAATTTAGTTAAATTTAGACATCTTGAGTTTGTTTATGAATTATTTCACTCCAAAAGTTTAGTAATTTATGTATTTTGTCATAAATTACAAAACTATTCTATTTTCTCCTCACTGCTTAAAATTGTTTGTAATTAATTTCGCTGCGAATTGTTTCGTTCTATTTTCTCAAAAAAACTTCATTCATTATAATTTAAGCATTAAATTTGTTTGCACATTATTTTATTCAAATAAAAAGAATACTCACTTCATTCACTAAAATTTAAACACATTAACGTTTCATAAGTGAAAGTGCAGATTTTAATGCTAAAACTTTGTCTGCATATTTTTTTTTTGTCTTAATTCAAATCAATGAAAATTAAGTTTTTGAAAAAGAAAATTTCAATTTAAACATTGTTTGTAAAAGAAGAAAAAAAATGAGAAAGAAAAAGACACAAATTATTTAAACAATTTAATTTTGGGTCAATTTAGAGAAAAATGTTTCAAGTTTCATTAATATTTTAATGTTTTCATTTTATGAAACTCATTAAGTTATATTTTAAAGGACTCAATATTTGTATTTTTACGTGCACAAAATTGTTTTTTTTTTGGTCTCTGATTTCAATTAGGACGACAAAACAGCAATTTGCCTTGTGCAAAGAGGAAAAATTTCCTCAATTACCAGCGGTGACGTAAAAATAACGCGCGGAAAATGTTTTCCTCTTTATTTTCTCATTCTCATTGTGTGTTTTTTGTTTGTTTGCATAATGCGTGTGCTAAACGTAATCGTGTGCCCTTCGGCGATCAAAAACCGCCTGCCGATCTCTCTGCGTTATTACCTAAACAGCAAGTTAATTAAGCCGTGCCACGTGTACAGTGTGTTGGAGAGAGATGAACGAGGATTGAGTACGTGTGTTCGCATGGGAGAGAGACAAGGATGGATGCGTCTGCGGCGTCACGGCGGGCGTTCGTGGAATGTGCATGACCGACGCGCTTTAACGGCAATCGCAATTTTCATCCAGTTTAATAATCTAATCTGCATTATTTAATCTAATCCCGCTCGTCGCAAATAGAGAGAGAGAGTAATAGTGTGTGCATGAGAGAGATAAAGATAGATTAATTGAAGGTGTGTGTGTGTAGGAGAGAGAAGGAGATTCATTATTGGTGAATGTTGTTGAATGAGAGAGAGAGATGCTTAGATCCCCAAAAACTAATCCACTTCGTCTTGGGAGGCTTTAATTAAAATTCCTCGCCGAAGAAACGCGCGCGTTCATTCACACCGCAAGGAAACCGCGTGCCGGGGGAAATTACGTAATTTTAGCGAACACCAATCAATGGAATTTTAGCTCACGAGGAATTTTTAATTTTCTCATATTATTTTTTTTTTCATTCTATTATATACTTTTTTTTTAGAATTCCTTTTTCATGTTTACCCAAACTTTTGGTGCATATTCAATCATCTACTTTTTGTTTTCTGTAAATTAGGTTAGAACAGGTCAGGTTACGTCAGATTAATTCATTTGTTTTATTTAACTTCATATTTACGATGAACTTTTAAGGTTAGGTTAATTAGGTTAAAATTAGGTTCATTAACTTTTTATGGACAACTTTTTTCAACAAGATACACGATCTCTTTAAAATAGGTCAGATTATGTCAGTTTATATTAAGTTAGGTTATGTTTATATTCTTTAATGTATTTGTTTTTTATTTCAAACCTTTTGTTTTTATTATTATTATTACATATGATTTTGAGAAGTTGAATTTAGTTTGATTTGATTAAACTATTAAATGAATTATTGAGAATGAAATGAAATGAAAATGAAATGAAAAGAGACAAAAAAAAATTGGTTCATAAAAACAAAAAGTTTTGTAATTTATGTAATTTTTTTGTTTGTTTGAAATAATTTACAGACAAATTAATAATTTAATTAAAAAAAATAATCAATTTTAAGTTGTGAAAATAAAGTTTCAATTTTAAATTTTATTAGAATGTAATAATTTATAAACAAAATCATGCTGAAATTAGAGAAAACGAAATCAGTTTTGTAATTTACGTAATTTTTAAGAAAATAGAATGTAATAATTCTAAGACAAATTGATACTGAAATTATTTGAAACAATGAAAAATAAAATTTGAAGACTATTTTTTGGAAATCTTAAGAAAAAAACTGTCTACAAATTTTATTAGAAATAAATCATTTTATAAATTACAGTAAATAAAATCATAAAGAAAATAAAGTTTTAAAATTTTTGTTTTGTTTACAAATAAAAATGAGTGAAAATTACATAGATATTTGTATGTGCATATTAATACTAAAAATAATATACAAATTATTATTTTGCACGCAGAACACGTAATAATTTATGTTTTTCGCACCAACATTTATTGCTTTTTATTATTGGGATGCAATTTGCAAAAAAAATAAAAATTAATAATAATAGTGAATTATTTTCAAGCGAAATGGAGCACGAAATAGTGATAAATTATCGGTGCGGTTGTATAAACACAATTTGTTTTATTTTCGCTTTTGTTTTTTTTGTAATAATTTCGTAATAAACCATCGAGCCAATTAAAAAAAAACCGAATAAACAATTGTTGTTGTTCATTTGTTTCGAAAATTCTGACAAAACAAAAAAACTGACAGTTTGTTAGAATAAAAACAAAACAGAATGTGCAAATTTTACATAATAATTATATTTCGGATGGTGGTGCCATCTAATTAATGGAAAAATAATTGCCGCGACCCACATTTTGAGAATCACTGGTGTATATTCTGGTGTTCATTTTGAGTCTACGTACTTTTTTTTTTGTTATGTAAAAGACTATTTAAGATATGTGGGTCGATGTAAAAGCTTAGAATGGGGATAATGAAAATACATGAGCTCAGAACAATGTGTGTTTTGTTTTGGAATCGTTTAATTAGGCGATAAGCGAATAGGAGGGATGATCGTAATCGTTCCGCGGCTTAAACAAGGCGAGCATAAATTTATTGCGGCGGATGTGCTGATGCGGCCTCGTTGATAGTGGAGAAAGGGTTGCTTTTTGGGTTGGATGGATGTATGGATGGATGAATGAATGAATGGAAGTAGACGAGAAAAGACGACCTAATACTCTGATTAGGGTGGATTTTGAAACTTTGCACACGCACTCACAAAGTGTACAACCGCGATCAATATGATTCAACATGCAGTCGTCATACAGTGGTGACGCCGAATCCATCATAGTTTTACATTGAGTCACGAGACAGACACTCCCCAAATTCCACATTGGAAACTATGCATTTGTTTTTATTTTTAGAGTACAACTCTTTTGTTTTTATTTTTTTTTATTACTGTAAAACTGAAATTAATGGTAATATCCTTTAACGAGAATTTAAATGCAGGTAGCATAATCAAATTTGATGATGTACCTGAATTTTATAATCCCAGCTGTATAATAAATAACCAATGGTGAAAGAATGTTTTAAAAGCAGATTTTCACAAATTTTATTTGCAAATAAATACAAAGAAATGACAAAAGATTTGAATTTTTAAATTGAAATGAATGTATTCTTTAGCAACTGAAAAAGAGAATGTGAGATGGGATGAAATGTAAGAGATGCCCATGTGGATGGGAAGCAAATGACGGTTAAGTTGATGAACGTTCGGGTCCTCCTGGGACATCCAACAAAAAGGGATCAACAAGCCTCAGCAAGCACTCTTCGTGCAAGTGGGCGTTCAATAATCAGGGGAAATTCCGGAAAAGGAAATCCCTGAAGAAGAAGTAGTAGTAGCGAAGAATTGGATGTGGAAATGGACTAGTATAACGAGGAAAGGGAAAGCTTTTCAACAACAATACTTGTATACGTGTACCCTTAAACAAAACATAAAACTTATTTTAATTATTATTATTTTTACAGTTTTTAATAAATTTTTACTATTTTCAAATTTGAAATTCAATAGAATGCTTTAGGTTCTTGGAAGAAAGTCATAAATCAGTAAAATTT